ATGTAGGTTTGACCAATGAACTTACAAAGTTTGAATGTTATTAATGATGCAGTCAAGTGGAGTGTCAACGGGAGTTGGGTGTTGGCCCCGTCCTCGCTTGGGCGGAGCCGACTTCGTGGTCGGATGTAGGGGTGCAGCCGACCTGCAGCAGTGGGCGGGCTGGTCGACGAGGTTGGTCGACCTGCACGGGAGCCACTGCATGGGCGCCGACTTTGGGAGGGCGCCAACTTCGGGTGGTCGACCTGGGAAGTCGACCAGACCTTCTGGTCGACCCGGGACGTCGACCAGCCCTTCTGGTCGACCCGGGACGTCGACCAGCCCTTCTGGTCGACCTGGGAAGTCGACCAGACCTTCTGGTCGACCTGGGAAGTCGACCAGCCCTTCTGGTCGACCAGGAGTGACGTCGACTTGGAGCTGGTCGACCAGGGGATAGTGGTCGACCTGGGGAGGTCGACTGGAGGTGGCCGTCGACTTGGGAGGTCGACCGGCACGTACCAGAGGGAGTGGTCGACCTGGGAGGTCGACCGGAAGTGGTCGTCGACCTGGGTGGTCGACGGGCACGCACTGGAGCCTCTGGTCGACCTGGTTGCCCAGTCGACCAGGTTACCTGGGTGACGAGGTGCTGCGAAGGCTTGCGATGGTCGCCCAGGTGGTTTTGGCGAGGACGACCTTGGTGATGGTATCCCGAGGTCGACGTGGTGCATCAGAAGCAGTCGTCAGCACGAAGTTGATGTGGTGTGTGCGTTGTGCAGGTGACGAGGCACTGCACGCCAATCGTCTGCGAGCACCTGCGAAGTAGGTGCGCTGCTGTCCTGCGGGAGCAACGTTGGCGCGCCGTCAACCTGCGACGTTGGCACGCCGTCGACCTGCAGTGTTGGCAAGCCACGACTCTGCGCTGCTGGAGCGCGGTCGACCAAGTTGTGCTGGCGCGCGGTCGACCGTGCTGCGCTGGCAGTCGACCTGCTTGCATGCTAGCTCTGATGTAGTCTTGCCTTGCCAACTTCATTGTATTATTGTTGTCAACTTTCTCTAGTGAAGCTCTTGCCAAATTGCCTTGTGAACTAGCAAGCAGTGTGTGCACTAGGAAAACGACTAAGGACCAACGAACGCAGAGATCACACGAGCACCCGTGCCTAGCCCGTAGTCTAGCTCGCGTTGTAGTAATTATCTCCGCAAAGTGTTGAGATGTAAACAAACTCATGCACTAAGACAGCAGCGCATCAACCAAAGATTCATTAGGACCGGCATTTTGTTGAGCTCTAACTCGTTTGGGAAGTCCAAAACTTTCCGTCTTAGAAACGTATGTCTTCAAAACAACCCTTTGATATCGGTTAAAAGAAATATGTATGCCTAGGGGGGTAAAATTGGCCCTAGTGAAGTTGGCTAGGACTCGGTGTACAACTGACGGTCTTGATTCAAACAATATGCTGTTGTAAGTTGTGCGAGATGGTTCAATTATACACGCTACCTGCAAATTTGCCTTGCACCGGATGAAAATTCTGCACTCGAGCTTTTCGCTCTGAGCAGTTGCACCCACGGTAAAGTCCCCTGGATGGTAGTACACAGTGGGCGCGGTTCAACCAGAACTGAACATGCAGCACAAAACAACCCAGGCGTGGGTTTGCCTTGCTTCTTGGCCAGAGTCCAGCCTCGCGAAACGCATGGATGAAATATCGTTGGCATCGTGCATATATTCGCGCGTGACTGTGTGTGATGTAAGGCTAGTTCATGGTGCGTAAAACAGACAAGGGGTAGTTTCACCAGGCCACGTGTATCTTACCTTTGCTCAATGCTAACGCATTATCAACCAAGCGTTATTCCAAATTCTCACGTCACACCTTGTGGTTGTGGCAACATGGTGGCCACTTCAGTATTCAAAGCTAGATTCATGTCCTGAACTTGACATGAATGTCTAGCTATGCCATTGCAAACGTAGACCGAAGTTGCTCTGTGTGACAGTTCTGCTGCAATAAAACGTGCACATTTACGCCCGTTAGTACAGTTTCTCATAAGTCCATTATCTCACCATGCCCCACCTCTACCACCGTTCGCAGCTTCCGCTGCACATCAAGCGCGTAATCTGCACCCACCATGTCGCCAACCCCCTCCTATGTCACGAGGATTTGGTGAGGTGATGTTTCACCCGCTTTGGGATTCGCCCAGACCGTTCCACCATCGGTCGGACGCTGAAAGGTGCAGAACGCTGTGTATATGCATTAACGAACAACAATTGGGTCCGCGTGTGTGGCGGCGCCCACCTTTCCCCGGATCAGGCCATGGCGCGCTGGATTTCAAATGCGGGACCCCCCGGTGCGCCACTCACCCTGCAAACCATTTGCGACCATATCGCAAATATGGCGTGCAACATGGGTATCCTGTCAATGTTCCGCTGCTCCATCAGCTGGGTTCGCCGTGCATTGCGTCGCAAGGAGTGAGGTGTATCGCCACTTGTGGCGAGGCGGTGGATCAGGACCTTACTATCATGCGCACTTGCAAGAAAGTGCCCCCCCAACTGCTCATGCATCTCTCTGTCTCGCCGTGCGATACGTACAATTTCGACAAGACGGGTTTGTTCTTGTCCATGCTTCCACCTAAGACTTACAATAATGGTCGTCTCCTCGGGTGGAAGGTTGCAAAGGAGCGGCTTACAGTCGGCTTCCTTGTCACCACCGATGGCAGTCGTGCCTTCCGTCCCTTGGTCATTTTGAAGGCAAAGCGCCTGCACAACTTCCTGCCAGATCAGAACCCCAATGAACTGTGCTATTGGCGTAGCAATGCCAAAGGGTGGATGAGGGCTCCGGGGAGTACCAAATGTTGTTATGTAGGTCATTAAAGCATGACAAACCAGCTTCGTGCCTTATCAGTTCCATACGATATCCACCGTCTAATACACCGTTTTTCCCATATCCCCCCCCACTCCCCGTCAGTTATTTACTTATTTTGTCGAGCAGCTCAATGCGGCAATGTACGCGGAAGACCGGCACATCCTCATTCCCTTTGATAATGCAAGCTCGCACGTGCTCTGTACTGAGACGATCACGTACGAAGATATCCACGGCTTCCGCACACGCTCTCTAAGCAACATTTGGCTTTTTACTAGGGGCTTGCCGCGACCTCGAAGGCCCGTTGCCGCCAGCACTGGCTACGGGCATTCACTGCCTTATGGGCATACTATACAGCAACTAGCGCCAGTGTGAGGTTCAAGCCAAATCTCCGCAACGTCCTGGCGTGGTTGTCACACGCGTGGATGAACATCAGCCCGCGAACCATCTAGTGGTGCTGGTGGCGCACCGGATGCCTCCCGCATTCATAGGCCATGGACTTGCCACACGTGCACAACGAAGGAGGCTAGGGTGGCGACAGCGTAATGGCAGTGTAGGTGGGAATGAGTATCTCGACATCAATCTTGATAAGGAGATCGGATTCTCATTTCCCGACTCGGACTCGTAGCTAGCGCGATGGTGGCAACAAAGTGTGTCGCCATCAACAATGATCAGCCGATCTGCGCCGAGCCCGGCGAGGACCCGCTTGCGACCGAGCCGATGGCAGACATGGCGGTCAAAATGTGGGAGGCGGCCACCACCATGCAAGCCGTATACAGGGATAACAACCCTGTAGGCCGTGAAGCAAGGCGTACGGTACGGGCAACGTGCAAAATGCCGATCGGCTATGCTCGCGTCACGCCCATCATGCCGCGCTAGCTATGCTATTTTTTCGGCATCTGTAATCTGCTTATCATCACGTGGATATAGCAGGCGAGCCTACCCATCAATTTGAACATGACCCCGCCGCTTGCAGCAACGCCGAGAGCTACCTTGATCGCTGACATCACGCGTCGGCGCGGCCGCGTGCTGCCTGCTATGACCTAGCCATCCCACTACCAGCAGCTGCTGGATGCCGGTGTCACGGCCGTCGTAGCAGAGTGGATGCGCTTGTGGGGGGTTTCAACACTCCATGGAAAAGTTAAGTTCTCCTCCAGTTCACATATATGCGATAGCACATTTGTTGACGCTTCACCCACTCATGACAATGAAGCATTGGGTCAGGTGGCGTGAGAGTGTTGAATGGAGGGTTGTGATGTATGTTTTTTTACAAAGTTAGATTTATGCTTTGATTGCATCCTCCATTATTTGGCATGTAATATGGTAACTATGTGCACACACAAACAAGGCAGGCCAGCCCACACTGCTATGAAGAAAAAAAAGCACACTCAAAGTGCGGCGAAACCCACGAACCCCGGCGAATTGCACATAGTAGCTTATAAGCCCCCTTTACAAGGCAATCAGAGGAAACTCAAACGAGCATCAGGTGTACTGTACCTGAATGGGGAGGGAGTTGTGGGATGGTTCGATTCGAATGCACATGATGCTCTCCCCCTGCACGCAGAAATGCCTTGCACATTTCGGAAACCTTACACCCGTGGGTTTTTTGCCCTGGCGATGCACCTAGGGTATAAGCACCTGAGACCACTTGCATCTACCTGGTGAATACTCCCAAACCTGGCAACACAGCAAAAGACAAACATAGTCTTGCGGGCTGGTCCTTGTTTTTTAACCACCCACCCCACCGCCTTCCCCCCCTCTCCCACCCCCCCCCCCCTCTCCCCCCCCTCTTCCCCCCCTCTGTCAATCCCCGTGCCTTTTGCGTGGGAGCTCTTCACGCACTTCATTGAGCAGTTGGACACTGCCATGTACGCCGAGGGCCGTGCTTCTCGACAACGCGAGCAGCCAAACCCTGACAACCGAGGTCGCGGTAGCCGAAGACCTCTTCGGGTTCCGCACGCATTCGCTCTAGAACGTGCGCTTGGTGTACCTGCCGCCTAACACAACCTGCTTCACGCAGCCCCTCGACTAGGGGATGATCGCTGTGACAAAGGCGCGGTACCGCCAGCATTGGCTCCGCGCCTTCACTGGCATGTGGACTGCAGACGGCGCGACTTCCGCGCTGCGAGGTTCAAGCCGAACCTCCGTCGCGTGCTGGAGTGGCTCCATGACGCGTGGATGAACATACCGCGGAGCACTATCCAGCACTGCTGGTGGCGCACCGAGTGCCTCCTGCGGGCGTGGACGATGGAACACCCACACGTGGAACATCCCGCCGACCCTGAGGTCCAGGCTGGCGGTGACGTCGGCCTGGACGACGAGGTGAACGACGTCGGCATCTTAATCGATCGCCTCCGCCTCGGGCTATCTGTGATGGCTGCGGCGGAGTTCGTCGGCATTGATGACAACCAGCCGACGTGCGTCGAGTCAGGCGAGGACCCCCTGGCGCTGGAGCTGGCATCGGCGCACACGGCACATATGTGGGAGGCGCCTGCGTCAATGCAGGCCGTGTACGACGACAGCAACCCTGCGACACGCGAAGCACGTCGCACGGCACGCGCCGCCTACAAGATGCTTATTGGGTACGACGAGGGATCTGTGCGCGCTGTTCGACATCCGCAACCCCCTGATCATCGCGCGGATGGAGAGCGCAAGCCCGGCTTTTAACCTTAACGCGACTCCGCCGCCCGTGATGACGCACGAGGACACCCCGCCGGCAGAGACTCCACGTCGCCGTGGTCGCGTTCTGCCATCATGGATGACGGTGCTGACCCTTGTCGGAACCTCACCACCTCCCTACTTCTCTTGCCGCTCTCCCTCTCAGACTCGTGTCCTTGCTGGTTCCCCTCCTCGAGACATCACCTTTTGCCTTGTTCCCTTGGACTGATCTTGCTACCTTTCCTTCCTTCATCTGTTGTTTACAACCCTCCCTTCCTGCTGCTTCTCTTTATGATGCACTCACTCTATGATAAGCTCTAGCTCCTTCACATAACTCTCCGACCTAGCTACTAGTTACATCTCTGCTTGCAATATCTCCTTCTCACTACTTGCTCGGTCGAGTGCAAGAAATTCGTGTTACAAAGGAAACATACAAGCATTGAGGCTAGCTCTGCCAGGTTCCTCCTAATCTACCAGCTCTGCCTCCACCCCGCTCTGCTCCTTCCCTTGTCTCCTCTCTAGCTGCTAAGACTGCCTTCGAGAAGACATACATCCCTTCCGCCTGCCACCTATGTAACCCGCCTCTAGCTACTTTGCCTCCAGCTGACACACATCCAAATCCAGCTGGCTCCTGAGAGCTTGCTTGCACACATAGGGAAACAAACACGCATGCATGCGAACACCCATCCAAGTGTCGGTGGTAAGCTCATGCTTCTGCCGCCTCTGCCTTGCGATGTAGGTCCCACTCGTGCTCTCCTTCCTCTTACGTAAGTGCCGCCCCACACCGCTGCCATGCATTCCTCGACCCTTCGCTTCGGCAGACGTCACCCTTTTTCGCAGCCCTTGGTATCCCTGCACCCCGCGAACCCCACCCTTCCCATTGTTGGTGCATTGCACTCGGCTTGTTGTCCGTGTGCGTATGCGTGCATGCGTGTGTGCATGGAGTGGTATGAGTGCATGAAATAAATATATATTTCATGCTTATAATGGTGTATGAATGATGGGTCATGATGTCGAATGTGTGTGTCAAGTCAATAGCGAGTTATCGCTAGCCGCGTGTAACGCGGTCATTTTGTGTGTCCCGCGCGGGTTCTATTTTGTCGTGCGCGGTTTCTATTTTGTCGCTTGTCGAATGTTCGGCGTGTCGCAGGTGTGTGCAGCAGACCCATCACGACGAGGGATCTGTGCGCGCTGTTCGACATCCGCAACCCCCTGATCATCGCGTGGATGGAGAGCGCAAGCTCGGCTTTTAACCTTAATGCGACTCCGCCGCCCGTGATGACGCACGAGGACACCCCGCCGGCAGAGACTCCACGTCGCCGTGGTCGCGTTCTGCCATCATGGATGACGATGCCGACCCCTTGTCGGAACCTCATTACCTCCCTACTTCTCTTGCCGCTCTCCCTCTCAGACTCGTGTCATTGCTGGTTCCCCTCCTCGAGACATCAACTTTTGCCTTGTTCCCTTGGACTGATCTTGCTACCTTTCCTTCCTTCATCTGTTGCTTACAACCCTCCCTTCCTGCTGCTTCTCTTTATGATGCACTCACTCTATGATAAGCTCTAGCTCCTTCACATAACTCTCCGACCTAGCTACTAGTTATATCTCTGCTTGCAATATCTCCTTCTTCTCACTAATTGCTCGGTCGAGTGCAAGAAATTCGTGTTACAAAGGAAACATACAAGCATTGAGGCTAGCTCTGCCAGGTTCCTCCTAATCTACCAGCTCTGCCTCCACCCCGCTCTGCTCCTTCCCTTGTCTCCTCTCTAGCTGCTAAGACTGCCTTCGAGAAGACACACATCCCTTCCGCCTGCCACCTGTGTTACCCGCCTCTAGCTACTTTGCCTCCAGCTGACACATCCAAATCCAGCTGGCTCATGAGAGCTTGCTTGCACACATAGGGACACAAACACGCATGCATACGAACACCCATCCAAGTATCGGTGGTAAGTCCCTGCTTCTGCCGCCTCTGCCTTGCGATGTAGGTCCCACTCGTGCTCTCCTTCCTCTTACGTAAGTGCCGCCCCACACCGCTGCCATGCATTCCTCGACCCTTCGCTTCGGCAGACGTCACCCTTTTTCGCAGCCCTTGGTATCCCTGCACCCCGCGAACCCCACCTTGACCCTTCGCATTGTTGGTGCAACCCTACGGTTTGCACTCGGCTTGTTGTCCGTGTGCGTGTGCGTGCATGCGTGTGTGCATGGAGTGGTATGAGTGCATGAAATAAATATATATTTCATGCTTATAATGGTGTATGAATGATGGGTCATGATGTCGAATGTGTGTGTCAAGTCAATAGCGAGTTATCGCTAGCCGCGTGTAACGTGGTCATTTTGTGTGTCCCGCGCGGGTTCTATTTTGTCGTGCGCGGTTTCTATGTTATCGCTTGTCGAACGTTCGGCGTGTCACAGGTGTGTGCAGCAGACCCATCAAGAACTCAAGGATGAGTTTTGTGATGAAGAACCCGAGCCTTGGTTCAAGCTTCAAGTGTTTTCGAAGCTCGCCAAAAAGGCTACACCTCAAGATATTGAAGATTGTTACATTACAATGTGTAGTGTAACATTTCAGTTGGTGTAGGCCCTTGTGAAGGGTAGTTTCGAGACCCTTCCTGGTTGGGGACAGTGTGGCACTGTTCCCCATCAGTGTACCTCGGCTCCTGTGGTTTGTAGGAGCTGGGAGTCCTTCCCAACTCGTAACTCTTCCTAGATGTTCGTAATTGTGTGTTCTAAAAATATGTTGCTGCCATAGTGCCGTTCGTTCAAACCGACGCTGTGTCGTCAATTCTTGATGAAATCGTGCGATCTAAATTGCCTATTGTATGCGGCGTCAAGACGCTCCAGATCCAAGTTGAATGAGGTCGTTTGGAGCTGTGACCAGATCGCTATGAACGTTTAAATCCGCTGTGCAGAAATCTGACTGCGCACTTTATCTCTTGTTTTAGGCACATTGAAGCCTATTGTGACTATAACACGCATCCCATCCTCGGCACTGCGCAGCTCCTTATATACAGTATGTACAATTTGTATATCCCCCATTCTCTACTCGCTACCCCGTTCACATTCATGCAAATGTGACACCCTGACTGGATTGCCCAGTCCGCTCGGCGGCAGGAGCTTATCGACGCTGGCGCTCCCGCCGTGATGAGCGGCTATCTCGCTGCGGCAGAGTGGATGAGGTTGTGAAATCCACCAAGGAGCGGTGCAAGTTTCCGCATTTGCATAAATGTGCACGACTTACCTGTGGTAAACGACGATTGCATTAACGGGGAGGGGAGGGGGGGGAGGGGGGGTGGGTGTTTGGGTGAGGCAAGGGTACAGGTGTGGCTATGCTACTGGTTTGCTAATGTTTGTGACGAAGGGAGAGGTGAATTGTCATTGCATGTGATAGCAAGGCCTTGATAAAAGTGGTAACCAAGTGCATTAGCTCACAACAAAGCACCCCGTCCACCGCTGTACCAGGAAAAGACAAACATGCTACCGCCTGTGCCCTTTAAAAGCACCCGACGGCCCAGGCGATGGTGACGAACTCCGCGAAAAGCGGAAATCGGTTATAAGCGTAGAGGGCAAGGGACCCTCGGGGGACTCTAACGCGCATGAGGTGTATGCTGATGCCAAGCCACTTGCCAGTTTCCTCTCCAACACGAGAAACAAACTTGGGTCTCATGGATGAACGTAATCATTTGCTCTCCCTCCCGCGCTGCGGTGTGGCAGCAATTGTGTCAGCAAAAGACGGGCACGACCGGCTGTCGCCACCACTGCGTTTGTTGGGGCTGCCGTGCCGTCCCAAGTGTGGTTTGTGTTGTGTTGTGTACAGTGATGTGTTGCGGGGTGCAGCAGAATGTCCAGACAAGTGGTTTGTGAGGGTTGTCCCAGAAATCCGCCCTTCACTCCTAACTGTTGTACTGTACCGAAAGCACACTGTAGCTCATTGACAGGAATGTGACGGGAATGTATCATGTCTTCCCTGACCACTGGAACCTGAACCTGAACTTCAATTGCTGCGGTACAAAAGTCTTTTTCTGGTTCACAAAGCGGTGCTGGATCAATAAAGCTCGGTGTCCAATAAAACTGGAACCTTGTGTAGCCCCAACTCAGGTTCGGTAAACAGACACATGCATCCGTGACTCAGAACCCTACGTAAACAGTTTATATCGTAAGAAGCCACTATGAAACGCAAAGCATCTCACTACACCGCAATAGGGTAGACTCTCGAACATGGCGCAACTCATGCCCACTTCCTGGGGAAATTGCGCTCTGTACCTGTTCCTTGCTTCAGGAGTACAAGTGTTGAAAGGAAAGCAAAAAGCTCGGCTACTCGCGCCAGTCGCCGACGACAGCATGACTTAGTCACTAAGTCTTCTCGAGGGATCCTGTTTCGCTCCCATAGCATTTTTAGGCTCTGGTGTGTCGAGGACTGCACTCAAACGGCCTAGCTTCTTTTTCTTTCGGAGCTCTTGCTGCGATTTCCCTTCTCGCTGGTTTACACACAGAAAGAAAGAACAACCATACAGAATTATATAAGATGGGTTCCGATGTTTTCAAGAAGAACCACTCTTCTTCTAACTTTAAATCATGCATCAAATGTATGACTCCGTACGTCATCGCTTTGGGTGTGGTCGTGGCCCTGATGACCTACTTCCACGTATCATCGCATCCGTCCCCTGGATCATTCAGCTCCGTCGGCCCGTCGTACCTTCCGCCGAATCTCGGCTGGGTCGCGTTTCTTTTTCCCAGCGCGAGCAAGGTCGACGCGACGATCTGCCGCGCGGAGGCGAATTACTGGGTGCGTACATTTCTTAACGGGTACATTTCCATGTGGCAGGAAAAACCTCGAGCGCATGCGTTACAACCGAAGCCAGGCGATTCCTTATCCATTTCCCATAACAAAACTGACACTGAGCGCATCCACGTGCTTTCCACGTTGCAGGAGAACGTTGAGCGGCGGCGCAAGGAGTTTCGAGGCGTGCTCCAGCCGGTTCTGGCCAACCCCGTGCGAATGAAGGAGCTGATTCTCGTGCCCATGTACACGTGCCCGCTCAACGAGCGCATCGGGAAATGGGGCGACGGGGGGAAGGTGAGACACATCATGCGGTGGACGGGGAAGGTGAGTGTGGGATAATGCGCGGCGCAAGGAGTTACTCATCCGAAGTTACCCTTGTCTCATGCGACATTCGGCGCGTAACGTATTTGTTAAGAGGGGGGACGAGGAGGGGTGAGGGGGGGGGGGGGGAGGGGGGGGGGGAGGGGGGCGGAAGGGGGGGGGAGGGAAGGAGTGGGGCGGGTTTGAACTAAAGAGTGAGGTATTTCAACACCCCCTTCTCCCTCCTCTCTTCCTCCTCCCTTCCCCTGCCTCCCTTCCCATGCCCTATGCCCTTCCAATACCCCCCTTATCATCCTCTTCCATTATTGAGCCGATGTCTGTTTTGTACCTATCTCTTCCGATGAGTCATGCCTCCCTCCCCAAGCCTCCCTCCCCAAGCCTCCCTCCCCAAGCCTCCCTCCCCAAGCCTCCCTCCCCATGCCTCCCTCCGCATGGCTATCTTCTCATGGCTCCCTTCCCATGCCTCGTGCCGACCACAGTGGGCGTGCATGATGCAGTCTGTCATCCAGAAGAAAGACCCGGTCGTGTACAGGTCAGTGGGGTGAGAGAGAGGGCAGTGCAGGTGAGGGGGATGAGAGGGCCTTGCAAGTATATGTTCTCAAGTCCCCCTTCTCACGCCTCCCTTGTGCGCACTCCCCATCTCCATCTTGCTATTCCAGATCGATCTGTTTGACACTGTACCTTTTTGCTTATCTGTCGCAGCATTGTTCGCACTGCTCCCTCGCCACTGCATCTCTCCCTCCCTCGCCGTATCAGCAGCTTTGACGTGTAATTGATGGGGAGATGCACCGAATGCTACCCGATACCTTAGATCCCTTCACTTCCTTCCATATCCATACCCCCCCCCCCCCCCCCCTTCCCCCCCTTCCTCCCTAACCTTAACTCCCCCAATTCCCTCTCCCCACTTCCTTGTCCATTTCTCCTCACAGCAACGGACAAGGAAGCCCCGTTGAAGAAGGAGCTGCATTAAATGCTCCGCTCTATACCTTACACCTTCAAATCCATCACGTCTCTTTTCCACCCAACCCCACACCACACCCCCACCCCCCTTTTTCTCCTTACAGCATCGTCAACTTCGGCGTGTACTCATTCGAGAAGGAGATTGATTGAATGCTCCGCACCATGCCTTATACCTTCAAAATCTTTCTCCTGTCCCTTTCCCTCCCTGCCTCAATTCCCTTCTTTCCTCCTCACAGCGTCGGCAGCTTCGGCATGTATTCATTCGAGGAGGAGATGCATGAAGCGCTGCGCACCATGCCCTACACATTCGACCCCTTCCTTTCCCCTGAGAAGCTCAAGATCATGACCTCCCTCCCGTTCCTCCACTTCATCGAAATCGGCCTCTCCGGATCCGCCTCCCTCCCCGCCTACCACTCAAAATTCCCCGCAAAAAAATTTGCGACGCTGCCCGAATTGATGGGGCAGTTCGGGCACAGCTATGTGGATGTATTTAAGATTGACTGCGAGGGGTGCGAGGTGGAGTTGATTAAAGACCTTGGCAAGGAGTATAGCAACACGGATAAGAGGCTGGCGGTGCATGGGGGAAAACTTCCTTTCGGGCAGATCCTTATCGAATTCCACAAGTAAGGGGTACTTCCAGTTCAAAGATTTTCAGTTGCGGCACCCTTCTCGGCGGTTGCTCTCTTGCTGTCTCTTGTCTCTTGCTGTCTCTTGTCTCTTGCTGTCTCTTGTCTCTTGCTGTCTCTTGCGTCTTTCAGCTTGCATGTTTGCATGCTTTCTCCTTCCATGTTGGTCTCTATCGTCTTACGCATATTTGCAAGAGCTCTTAACATCCTGCCACCCTTCCATCCCCCCTCAATAACCTAAGGTATCTTGCAGTAACCCTGACCGCACGTCCCACCTTCTATGTCCCCTGGGACCCCATCCTCGTTATCTCTCTCTCTCTCTCTCTCTCTCTCTCTCTCTCTCTCTCTCTCTCTCTCTCTCTCTCTCTCTCTCTCTCTCCCTCTCTCTCTTTCTCTCTCTCACTCACACTCTCCATCCCGTCTGCAGCATGGACAAGAGTGTGAAGACCCTCGCCATGTTCTACACACTGGAGAACCTCGGGTATCGCCTGTTCAGCATTGAATACAACCACCAATGCGCCGTGTGCTGTGAGATGAGCTTCATTCACGAGAGCCTTGTGCGCCCAGGTAGCGCCACTGATTGCCGCCCGTTCCTGGCACCCCCGCTAGAGAACAAGCTGGAAATGGAGGGGATGTCTGCTGGTGATGGTGCCGCTGCTGCTGCTGCTGCTGCTGCGCTAGCTGCTGCTGCTGCAGCTGACTCTGGTGATATAGAAATAACGGATGGTGAGGTGGGTGGTGGTGCCGATGGTGCTGCTAATGCTAATGGTGCTGATGGTTCTGCTGTCGCTACTGCTGGTGGCAAGGAGGTTGAGCCTGCTGGTGGTTTGCCTGTGGAACCTGGGAAGTTGGTGGGTTTTGATGAGCCAGCTGGTGGTAAGGAAGCTGACTCTACTGCTGGTTTGCCTGTGGAACCTGGGAAGTTGGTGGGTTTTGATAAGCCAGCTGGTGGTAAGGAGGCCGGGCCTAGTGATGGTTTGCCTGTGGAGCCGGGAAAGTTGGTGGGCTTTGATAAGCCAGGGAAGCAGAAGAACGACATAGGGGATACAGAGCAGGAGGGGGAGGAGGAGGTCAGTGAGAAGGTGGGTGGAAACAAGAAGGTGAAGGTTCGAGCGGAGGGCAAGGAGGGGAGCAGCAAGAAGAGTAGCAAGGTGACCGGCAAGGGGAGTGTGAAGGGGAACGCGAAGGAAAGCACCAAGGCGGGGAAGAAAATTAGCGAGAAGACCAGCAAAATGAGTAAGAAGGAAATCAAGGAGGCAGAGGACGAAGAGGAAGGTTGATTGAGCGGGTAGCAGAGTTAGCGGTGGATGAGGGGGAAAGAGGAAGGAAGAGCAAACGAGGTGGAATGGCAGTGGCAGGCGAACCAGCATGAGAGGCAACCTCAGAGGATTGAGGCCAACATATGGAGGAGAAAGGGGAAAGAAGAGCGCAGACGGGAGTGGGCCATGGAAGCAGGGTCAATAGGATTGGGGGAGAGATTTTCAGGGAAATTTATAGGATGGTTAAGCAGATGAAAGAAGTATTATATTAATACGAGAACATGGGTTGAGCAGATGAAAGAATGGAGTGCGTGCAGATTCTTGTTCCAAATACTGTAAGAATTTCAAGAACTACCCCTTGGTGACAGTGCATTCAGGATTGCAAGATGAACCTAGAATATTTTAGCGAACAACCCAAAACGTCAGCAAACGAGTTTGGGCATGGAACCATTTTTACGACCACGTAAAACGGTCGACCGTATGATCGGGCCTGGCATTCGGCTCCGAGCCGAAAAGGCAAGTGCCAAAAAAAACTAAAAAGTGGCGCGTTCATAACTTTCCAGTTGCATTTTCCGCGCAAGAAAAAAGTTTGACTCAGCAACAGTGGTAGCGTCAGTAACTACAACCGTCACCTTCCCGTCACTTTCTGGCAACAACGTGTGCAGATTCCCGCATCCGCCACGCAAGTGTACAGGCAACTTCACAACTGGAATACAGTAACCACACACGTTACTCGGATGGTCACCATAACGTTGCGCCGCAAACACCCACCTCACATACCTCCCAGTAACCAAAACATGCGGCGACGTACACGTGCCCACGTGTACCTGAATTTCAACCATACCTGCCACGTAAGCGTACACACCCACTACATGCCGAACCTACCACAGCCGCACGATTACGCACCACCACACCAACTATGCACCGTTCACGTGTAAACAGCTCCGCGAGTCGCCAATACTGTTACAATACCTCCAGCCAAACGAGTACCATAGATTAGGGTAGTGCATACCACATCCAGCCCGTCCATTCTCTATGCATTGTATGCCTCGCACCACTACCCCCCTGCCACGTGCAACTCACAACTAAAACTGATACACAACTACCACGCGCCATCTCACCACCTGCTTGTCCCACGTGTCCTCAACACCCGCCATCGTACTATGTGTTACCCCTTCTCGCAGCTACCTCGCATGCGTAGCCCAACCACTTGCACGCGACCATGTTCTACACCCTACGTAGCATCAACAACTCATAGGCTGCCACGTATCAGCGACTGTTTAGGGAGATCGCACCGGCGATCGCAAATGCGTGCGGCAGCAATTCGCACAGCCCCTACGCGTCGCATCACCACCTTCAGACCTCACAGGGTTGGTGCACGACACCCGCGACCACCAGCGTGGCAGTTGGGCCACGTTGAGGTTTCGCACCGCTCGTAACATGGTCGCCTGCACCACACTTCCAGTGTCGCACAACACGCATCACCAAACACCAGCCGTCCACGGAGGACGGGAACGATCCACCCCTCCACCGCCACGCGTCACTTTCACACATTCCACAAACGCCACCATGCCAAGCACACAAACACCGTGCCGACAAATGGGGCCTCGTCAACTGTTCGAACCAACCACGGCAATCCACGTGTTGCTGCCAAAGTAGGCGGACCCCAAACCATTGGCCCGGGTTTAGGGTTCACTCCGTCAAACGCGGCGACATTTGCGGCGCACATGACGCGCGCCCCGGAAAATTCGGTTCACTTGGTCCTAGCCAACCAGCATTGCCCGCCGATGTCTGTCTGGATGGATATTGACCCCGTTATGTCCATTACACTCGCTCAAAACATGCATACAAGAACAATTTCCAAAACCGTCTACCGTGCAACAAACACCGTAAACTTCAAGAGCAATCTAGTCACCTACAACCCCCAAACCAGCCGCACGTATCTCAATAGCGCGCGCAAAAGCAACATCACCTCCCACCACGGCAAGGTCTATGCCCACCAACAGCCCGTCCTCCCCCTCCCCGCCGCTCTACACACCCCCGACAGACACCGACTGCACATCGTTCCCGGCGGCGTCTCCTCCGCTAGCGCCTGCATTGGGCTTCATGCTCTCAAGCCCACATGCAGAAAGGCGGAGGCCATGGCGTCCCCATATCCACTCCTCTTTCTCCTCGTCGTACTCTGGATTGAAGTGACGGATGGCCTGTGAAACGGAGCCCTTCACAAGCACCTTGAGCCCGTTCACCACGTGGCCGTTCCCCCCCGCCGAGTTAGAGAGACGGCCCATCCTCTGCTCCCAGTACATGATGCTGTCGGACACCTGACAGGAAATACACACCGCGCACACACTGTAAGCCTACACCCCAGGCGAGTAGTAACCACCAAATTTAAACATTGTCACTCACCACGTGCTCTAGCCACGCAAGGTGGTACACCTTCAAAGTGAGCGGCAGTGCAGCCTTCTTCGGAATGAAGGCAGCCTTTGCGCACGCCGCAAACGCCGCAGAAGCAAAGGGCATCCCGTCGCGGTCGTTAGCCCAGTTGCTCAACACCAGATCATCTGCACACCGCCGACAGCTCGGACGAGTAAAAAGACTACACCCAAGCACGCAACCGTCACCAATGTGTAGAAGCGCCTGAACACCGCTTACCGCTCTCATCCGCTCCGATCCCAACGCGCTCGCGAATCTGCTCCAGCGTCCGTGCGTTGTCCCTTGCCCACGGGCTTGCCTCGTCGCGCTCGTCCCGGAAGAATCCAAGCTTCGGGAGCGCAATGTCCCGGACCCGTGCTGCAGCCCTTGTCTTCCACTCGCTCAGCGTCTTGTTAAGGTCCGCCCGTCGGGACTTGTCCGCTGCCAGCGCGAGACACGCGAAGCTATGCGGCAGGCGGTCAAGCACTGCGCAGACGCCATAAGTCTTGTCGTCAGAGCTCGGATAGAAAGTCATGGTTGCTGCCGGCTTCTTCAGGAACAGCTGCACGCGGACCAACTCGCATAGTCGCTGCACACAAGTCAGGAACCACCGCAAACACTGAATGAGAACAGTGCACCACCAAATGTCATCCCCCTGCAGACTGCGCCCGCCCATACAGTAATGTTTCCCGTCTGCTAGCACAACCCACCTTCCAAGCCTTGTCTGCTGGCAGCAGATCAAGTGCGCGTTGCAGAACAGGCGACTTCGCAGACCGCATATGTTTGCGCCGCGTGCGAATCTGTGCCACGTCCTCGAAGTCGTCGTCGTCGTCCACCTCATCGTCATCGTCCTCAACCTCAGCCACAGCCTCGCCACGACGCTGGCGCTTTGGGTTCATGCATCCCTGTCCCGGCTCCCTCTGCCGCTCTGCTTTGCGGCGACGAGATCCCCCATCGGACTTCGCCAGTGCCTCCAAAAGCAAGGTTTCCAAGCGGGCAACCTTCTTCGCGCTCTCGTCTTGCGACTTAAGCAGGCTCCTGAATACTCCCGCAGAAACGCGCACCTCCTCTCCATTGGTTGGGACATCAGCGTTCTCGCGGTTCGTGTTGGTTTCGAACATCGCGCGCATCGCGTCGCCCACATCCTCGTCATCCTCCTCTTCGAAAGCGTTGACGTCGCTCTCGATGCGTGCCTGGTCGCCCCCGTCAACGTCCTCGCCTCGATTCCGGAGAGCCAGACGCGGATCAACGTCGCTCTTGGAACGCGAATCTGGCGAGTCACTCTCCGCCGCTTGCTTGCCTACTCTGGCGAGAGAAGCGTCAGATGTCTCCCCCCCCGTAGTCTCTGAAGTGGTGGGAATGTAGACGGACGAGAATGTAAGTTCGAGGGTTTAAAAGCTCCATTGCGGAATGAAGGGGTATGCCAACGGATGCAAAACCATACGAGACTGTAAACGCCTCACTTCAATGGAACAAATCGCGAGCAACATGCGCAACAAACCCGTGATTACCATCACCAGCAGATCTTCCGCCACCTCCCGCAATGGTAAACGTCAAACGCTTAGGCAAAGCAGTTCCCCGAGTCCCCCTTGCCATGCGCCCACGAGGAGTTGCAAGCTGATATGCCGCGCGCAGGTACGCCGGAGGCTGGGACACTCGCCGTGCACGCCCCAAGTTGCCAGTATCTTCGGAAGCAAGGGAAGTCTCCATTGTGCCCAGTTGACAGTGTTTGAGTGCACCGTACGCATTCCTTAGTGCTCGGATTGATATAGCAAAGTATACGGTACCCAGTGAAAATTGCTCAACGACGGAAACACCCATGGTGACAACCGTTCCCTCCAATCAAAATAAAGGCAATCTCTGACAACCACTCGGAAACAACCTCCACGATTTCCGTCATCTTTGTGAGCGAATACGCATCGGCCACCGATCCCCGTCATCTTTTGTCCGAAAACCCGTCCTCTCGCTATCAGTTCCGCTTACTCCGTCTTCGGTACACTTGCTATCATGCAAATTCGTAACACCTCCACATTCAACTCCAGAAATCTTTTACTAGCAAAATAGTACAGACACGATAGATTTCACATACTTTCCACACACATGCAAACATCAGTCGGGTACGGATGCCTTTTTCTATCCCACGGTACACTCTCCAGTCCCCACTGATATCCCAAGCACCATCCTACTGCCTCCCACGACCAGCTTCATCTGTCTTGTCATCCATGGACTTTGCATCGGCACTGCGGAGCCTCCCAAGCGCCCTGCTGTTGGTTGGTTCGATGGCAACGATCTCAGTGTCCTCACTTCCAGCCTTCTCTCCTTCACCCTCTCCTGCCGTGCCACCACCCTGCGCACCACTCTCCTTTCGCGGTCTCCCCCTTTTAGCAGGCGTTGCATTCTTCTTGGCCCGCGCTGCCTTCCGCATCACACCTTCGTACGCCTCCCTCCATACCCTCCAGCGCCACCACATGCGGGCATCCACCAGGACTTTTAGGACTTCAGGAGTGCACCCCTTCAAAGCTGCCCTATCCGCCGGTGTTAAAGCCACAGAGTTCCTGGTGCCCATGCCTGGCCTCAGCACGTGGGCTGCTGCCGCGTAGCAATACGCTGCCTCCTCTATCGTGGTGTAAGCGCCGACTCTCCTCGTTACCTTCTTTCCGTCCTTGTCCTTGGCGACAACCTTCACCCCAAACTTGCCTGTATCGGCCTCCACATACACCCCGGTGTACTTGGTCGGCTTTGTTCCTGGCTCGGTCTCCCCCTCTCCGTCCTCGTCAGAATCCTCTCCTCCGGCCAAGGGCTCCTGCTTAGGCACAGCTGTGAAGCCGGGGTGTGTACCCAGCCGCACCGCTCTGCGCGATGCCGTAAACAGGATAGGATGGCTGGACTAGTGAAACCGCAGCTCCCTGCTGGCGCGACAACAGCCAGTGTGGAACCGTCCCGGGGATCGGCAGATGTGCCGGGAAGCAGGGGTACGCTCCAACGGCTGACGCGAACTTGCTGTCGAGCGACACTCTCGTGTTGGAGCCCACCAGATCCTCGTCAGGGCTGTCGTTCAGCTGCTTCGTGTATCCTGAAGGCCGTACAGGAGTGGTTGGGCCGTGCTTGCGCGGATCATTACCTCCCGCTCCCTGCACAGCGCAGGCAGGCTTCTGCAGCATGTTTTCGCCGGCAGAGATCAGCTCCTCCCTCGACATCCCAAGCACCTGCCCAATTGCGGCGAATCCTGCAGTCATCGCACCGACCTCGCGCTTCAAGGAGCCCACCTCCGCCTCGAGTCGGTCCACACGTCTTTGCTCTGTGTGTTGTCCGTCCTCTGCACCCTCCTTCAAAGTCGTGTTGGTGGTGGTGCCGCTTTCCTGAGAAGGAACATCCACGCCATCTTCCTCTAGCCTCCGGAGCAACTCCCCCATAGCGTGTGCGCTTAGATCAGCGCGCATGTTGCGGCGGTACTGCAGCGCGCTGACCCCTTTGAACCACAGGCCACTCTTCAAGTTGGCGAAGTCGGAGTAGACCAAAACTTTCAAGTAGTGGCAGATGAAGACTCCGCAGTCAAAACCATGTCAAACATTATATATGTTGTGTTTGTTTAGGCTATAGTGGGTTAGCCTATAGGGGGTACACAATTCTAGGGTTAGGTACTTGTACTGATTTCACTGCTAGTTCAATCATTCCTGTCTGTTGATTTCGACATGGTTTCAGAGCAGGTCCTTCGCTAGGACCGTTCTTAGGGCCCACCGCTACCTACCTACCTACCTACCTACCTACCTACCTACCTACCTACCTACCGTGCGCCCTCGTGCGCCTACGCGCCCCAGTGCGCCTCCTACCTACCGCGCGCGCGCAGCCCGCCAGCCAATCGCGCGCGGCTCGTTTTTTTTTTTTAATTCCTGTCCGGGCGCGACCCGCTAGCTGCCCGCGCGCGGCCGATTTCTTTTGAGCGCGACCGGCTAGCCGCCCGTGCGCCGCTCGCACCGCTATAGCGCAGCCCGCAGCGGCCCCGCAGGCCTGCACATTGCCGCCCGCCCGCTGCAGCGCCCGCCCGTTCGTCGCCCGCTGCTGCTGCCGCCCGCTCGTCGCTCGCTGCAGCTGCCGCCCGCTCGTCGCTCGCTGCTGCTGCCGCCCGCTCGTCGCCCGCTGCAGCGCCTGCCCGCTCGTCGCCCGCTGCAGCTGCCGCCCGCTCGTCGCCCGCTGCTGCTGCCGCCCGCTCGTCGCCCGCTGCAGCTGCCGCCCGCTCGTCGCCCGCTGCAGCTGCCGCCCGCTCGTCGCCCGCTGCAGCTGCCGCCCGCTCGTCGCTCGCTGCTGCTGCCGCCCGCTCGTCGCCCGCTGCAGCGCCTGCCCGCTCGTCGCCCGCTGCAGCTGCCGCCCGCTCGTCGCCCGCTGCTGCTGCCGCCCGCTCGTCGCCCGCTGCAGCTGCCGCTCGCTCGTCGCCCGCTGCTGCTGCCGCCCGCTCGTCGCTCGCTGCAGCTGCCGCCCGCTCGTCGCTCGCTGCTGCTGCCGCCCGCTCGTCGCCCGCTGCAGCGCCTGCCCGCTCGTCGCCCGCTGCAGCTGCCGCCCGCTCGTCGCCCGCTGCTGCTGCCGCCCGCTCGTCGCACGCTGCAGCTGCCGCCCGCTCGTCGCCCGCTGCTGCTGCCGCCCGCTCGTCGCCCGCTGCAGCTGCCGCTACCACGGGCCCGCCGCTGCAGCTACCGCCTGCGCGTCGCCCGCAGCCGCTCCCGCTCGTGCGCCGCGGCCGCTACCGCCCGTGCGCTCCTGTTGCGCCTGCTACCGCTGCCGCTGCTGCACTCGCTCCCACTGCGGCCGCCGCTTCTGCGCCCACTGCCGCTCCCGCCCGTGCGCATCAGCTGCTGCCGCCCGTGTGCTGACACTGCCCACAGCTTCCCTGCGGCCTCATTCTTACTGTTTCTACCGCTACTGCTACTGCCGCTATGGCTACTCCTACTGTACTTACTTTCGATGCTGAGGGCCGTCCAGTGAAGTTCGAAACCTGGCTCGATGACCTCCACCTCTTTCTACAGCTCACTGCTAAGGAGGACGTTTCACTGTACGATCACGCCCTAGGCAACGCTACTGCCCCTCCTACCACTGCTGACAGCACTCAGCGCTCACAGTGGCAGACTCGTGACGCCCACGCTCGCTTCGCTATTCGTAACTCCCTACCGATCGACGAGCGCGAGCACTTTGGCCAGCACAAAACTGCTAAGGACCTGTACACTGCTGTAGTCGCTCGCTACTCCTCCCCCGCTTCTGCCACACTAGGCCGCCTCACTCTCCCCTACCTGTTCCCCGACCTGGCCTCCTTTCAGACAGTTGCTGACCTCATCACCCACCTTAAGACCAGTGAGGCCCGCTTTCGCGCTGCTATGCCTGACGAGTTCCTCACCAGCAACCCCCCCCCGCTCTGGATCACTCTCTACCACATAGTCACCCGCCTCCCCGACTCCCTGCGCACAGTCAGGGACCACTTCCTCTCTCGCTCCCCCACTGAACTCACCATTGCCCTCCTCGAGAAGGAACTGCTTGCAGCTGAGGCGAGCATCGTTGCTGTAGGCACCTCTCGTGGCGACCCCCGCACCCCGTTCTTTGAGGGGTGTTCCCCTTCCCCTCTCCTCCCCTCTGTCGCCTCTGCTGCTGCTGTCGACCTCCTTGGTGCTGGGAAGGTCGGGGCCGCGTCTGCTTCGAGCGGGCGCCGCAAGAGCAAAGGGGGCAAGGGTGGAGGTGGCGGCGGAGGAGGTGGGGGTGGAGGCGGTGGGAGTGGAGGAGCGGCTGGGGAGGCTAGTGGCGGCAGTGGGGGTGGTGACAGCAGCGGCGGGAGTGGCGGCAGGGGTGGAGGCGGCAGCGGAGGCGGAGGTGGTCGTGGCAGCGGCAGGGGTGGAGGTGGCCGAGGCGGTGGCGGCGGCAGTGGTGGTCGTGGAGGCGCTGGCGGTGGCCAGAGTCAGCAGCCCGCCCCGTCGCTTCAGGCCGCCCGTGAGTGGTATGCGCAGCGTGGCTTTACCTGCACGTACGTCATTCGCACTGGTGACCGCACTGGCCAGCAGTGTGGGAGGCCGCATCCCACACAGCGCTGTTTCGCGCGCCTTACTGACGCGTGGCGTGCCCAGTTTCCTGATGCCACTGACCTGCCCCGCTGGGCTGATCTGGAGAAGAAGGGAGTTGATATCTGGGCTTTAGACTTTGATGCTATTCTCACTGCCATGTATGCGATGTTTACTAGTGGAGAGGGTGCTCAGTACTTGCGTGTTCCGCCCGACCCGGGCATTCAGACCAGTCCGGCTGCCGCTCTAGGTGCTAGTGAGTCTGCTGCCCCAGGTCCTGGTGAGGCTGCTGCTCTAGGTGCTAGTGAGTCCGTGCCCTCTGGTACTGAGTCGACTGCAGCACTGCACACCTTCACACTGGACTCAGGTGCTTCTCGCTGTTTCTTTCGTGACCGCACTGTCCTTGAGCCGCTTGCTCGGCCAGTTGCTGTCTCCCTCGCTGACCCCTCTGGGGGTCCGGTCGTTGCGACCTCCTCCACTGTCCTTCCTTGTCCTGCGGTCCCGTCAGGCACACTGTCAGGTCTCTACCTCCCCTCATTCTCTACGAACTTGGTGGCAGGTAGTGCGCTCCAGGACGGGGGTGTTCACCAGTTCACCCCTGCTTACGAGCGCGTGACCCACTGCACGTGTGCTCGGACGGGCCGTCACCTGGCTACCTTCACTCGGCAGCCGGGGTCGGACCTGTACACACTGACCACTGAGTCCCCTCAGGTAGCTGCGTCCGCGTCTGCGTCTGCGTCAGGTCAGCTGTCCGCCCCCTGCTCGTGTCGCTCTCTGGCGCATGAGACTGTCCTCTGGCACCACCGCCTTGGTCACCCGTCTGTGCAGCGCCTTCGGGCCATGCACAAACGGGACCTTGTTGCTGGTCTTCCCAGGGTTCTCCCTCCCCTCCCACCCTCGCCTGCTCCTCCCTGTCTTCCCTGTGTCGAGGGGCGGCAGCGCGCCGCTCCTCACTCCTCCTCCTTCCCCCCGACGACTGCTCCTTTGCAGACGCTCCACATGGACGTGTGGGGCCCAGCCCGAGTCCGTGGTCAGGGTCAGGAGAGGTACTTCCTGATTGTTGTTGACGACTTCTCGCGCTACACCACGGTCTTCCCCTTGCGCACCAAGGGTGACGTCCCTGATGTCTTGATCCCTTGGATCCGCAGATCTCGTCTCCAGCTCAGTGAGCGTTTCCGCTCCGACTTCCCTGTCCTGCGTCTGCACTCTGACAGAGGTGGGGAGTTTTCCTCTGGCCTCTTGGAGGCCTTCTGTCAGCAGGAGGGCATTGAGCAGTCGTTCACGCTTCCGGCCTCTCCACAGCAGAATGGGGTTGCTGAGCGCCGCATTGGCTTGGTCATGGAGGTCGCTCGTACCTCCTTGGTTCATGCGGCTGCCCCCCACTTTCTGTGGCCGTTTGCAGTCCGATACGCTGCGCATCAGCTCAACCTCTGGCCTCGTGTCTCCTTACCGGAGACTTCTCCGACACTGCGTTGGACGGGAGAGGCTGGCGATGCGTCGCGTTTTCGGGTCTGGGGATCTCGAGCTTTTGTTCGCGATACGTCCGCGGACAAGCTCTCCCGTCGAGCTGTCCCCTGTGTCTTCCTTGGCTTTGTCCCGGACGCGCCTGGTTGGCAGTTCTACCACGCCACCTCGCGTCGTGTCCTGGCCTCTCAGGACGTCACTTTTGACGAGTCCGTCCCCTACTACCGCCTCTTCCCCTACCGCACTGCCCCGCTCCCCCCCCCCGCCTCTCTTCCTCGCTCCAGGTGCTGAGGTACCAGACCCCCTCCCCCCTCAGGGTGCCGCTCCCTCAGGTGTGTCCCAGGTAGACCCGGTTGAGCCTGTCGAGGTAGCTGTTGACTCTCGTCCTGCTGGGGGTGCTGAGCCTGACCGTGAGGAGTCTGGGGGTGCTGGGCCTGGGGGTGCGGAGCCTGGGGGTGCGGAGCCTGGGGGTGCGGAGCCTGGGGGTGCTGAGCCTGGGGGTGCGGAGCCTGGGGGTGCGGAGCCTGGGGGTGCTGAGCCTGGGGGTGCTGAGCCTGGGGGTGCTGAGCCTGGGGGTGCTGAGTCTGGGGGTGCTGAGTCTGGGGGTGCTGAGCCTGAGCGTGCTACACCTGGAGGAGCCCTCTCCTCCCGGCAGCTGCAGGAGCGGTACCTACAGTACTGCCGCCTCCGGAGAGGTGCTACTGGAGCTCGTACCAGTACTTCCCCTCCTGCCCAGGAGCTCCCCCCCATTCAGCAGATCCGAGAGTGGTACACGCGGCGCTGCAGTCTTCGGAGTGGTGCTCCTGGTGCTGCGGACCCTGAGGGTGGCGCTGCTACTGGTGCTGAGGACCCGGGCGTTGGAGCTGCTGCTGGTGCTGCGGACCCGAGAGGTGGCGCTGCTGCTGGTGCTGAGG